CCAGGTACACGGCGGGTATCACAGACCGAATGTTCGAGAAGCCCGGCCAGCCCCGCACCGGCTCCGACATCGCCGCCAGGAACATCCAGAGAGGGCGGGAGCACGCCCTGCCCACCTACAACGCCTGGAGACGTCACTGTGGCCTGCCCGCCATCACAGACTTTGACCAGATGGGCCCAGATGGCAGGTCAGTGGGTCACAGGAAACAGCGTTTGTATGGCGCAAACAGCCGCTCAACAGCAAGCACTAGGAGCTTTTACTTCACTTGCTCTCTCCCTGAGGGTGCAGTGGCGGAGCGGTGATATGTGTTTAATTTCGTCTTCAATGAAATGATCTTTGACTTTCGTATAGTTTTTCATTTCACAAAAGCGATCCACGCATTTTTAAGTCTTTGGTGGAGGTCGTGAAGGCAGTCTGCAGTTTTGGATATAATGCTGCCAAGGTACTTGAATGTACTACTTTCTGCAGGGGGTTCTCCATGAAGAGTGATGGGCGTAGTTTCTGATGACAGTCGTAGTACTTCTGTTTTGGATACATTTATCATAAGACTAACCTTTTCCTCAGCTTTTGCTGGTTCGTTAAAAAAAATCATTTTCCTGTACTGTGGTGTTTGATAGGCAGATGTCATCCGCAAAATCTAGATCTCCTAAATATGTGCCATTTGTCCATCCAATGCCTGTTTCAATGTATTTGCTCTGACTCACTACAAAATCCATCACAATTCCAAAAAGTACAGGTGATAATATACAACCTTGTCTACTAACATCAGTAATTACTTCAAAAGGTGTAGATAGTTTGCCTTCAACTATGACACAGCAGCTTGCTTTGGTATATATTGATCTTATACAGTTTATTATTTTTGTTAGGATGCCATAAACTGTAAGAATTTTCCACATGGTATCTCGGTCTATGCTGTCAAAGGTTTTTGTTAAAGTCTACAAAGTTCAAAATAATTGGGACACTCCATTCTTTGCTTTGTTCTACGATATTTCTAAGAACAAACAGTTGATCTGTACATGATCTCCACCGTCGAAAGCCCGCTTGTTCCTCTCTAAACCCGGTTACACGCAACGGTAAACTGTGTCAGATTCGTCGTATGACAGAACTGCCCGTTTGATCGAACTGTGTTGTCTGTTTACTCGTTCCAATCTATCGTCCAGTTTTCTGTGGATTGAGGAGATTGTGTTCGCCTTTCATTCATTAGGTCCAGAGCTCGAAACCTTCGCATTGAGAGCATGCAACTCGCTGTCGTCGCAAAGTGACATGGTGGCTTTATGACGAGGAATCTCCTCAATCGATAGAAAACTGGACGATAGATTGGAACGTGTAAACAGACTACATAGTTCGATAAAACGGACAGTTCTCTCAAACGACAAATCTGATACAATTTATCGTTTCGTGTAACCGGGGCTTGAGTCTGTCGTCTATGCGCTGTACAATCTATACAAGTACCCTAGCCAATCTGATGACATTCTGAAACAATCTCAACTTCCTGGGAAGCATGCAGACAAGATCTAATTTCGCTGTCTGTGGCTGGGTACTCATTCCTTCATAGATGGCGCTCTGTTGAAGGTCAAAACATAATGTGTAAAGAGGATCATGTTTAGCTCAAAGTCACAGATATTTGAAGTTGATATGTTCAGGTCAGTCTCATAGGTCAGTTCAGGTTTAAAACAAACAGGTGATGAAGAGACAAAAGCAGTTTCCATGACAATTGAATAAACAGTAAGGTATTGAACATCTCGGCTTCACTGGTAAAATTGAAGACATGCAAGGCAGGGGAAGACTCAAAGAAAAGTTTAGGTTGTTTCAGAATGCTCTCAGATTTCACTGTCTGTGAGTGGGTACCCAATCACACCTATGTGGGGCACAGTGGAAGGTCAAACATAAAGTGTAAAGAGAATTGTGTTTAGCTCAAGGTCACAGATATGTGAAGTTGGTATGTTCAGGTCAGTCTCATAGGTCAGTTCAGGTTTAACTCATTCAGCCCCGCTGTGTTTTGAGCAGCTTGTCGCTGCGGACCGCCGTTTAGAGGGTGTTTTCAAACATTCATTGTGAAAAAAATATTGAAGATATGTATGTGACCTTTTCAGGGATAAAAGAAGACTCAAAGAGCTATGTTTCTATTTAAACTGATTGTTGTTATCTTAACCACTTTAAAACAATGGATGTGCGGGTTTGAACTTGATTTGCGAGACTTCTTACATTCAGGTTCATCGTAATCGGGGTCTGCATCACTATCGGAGTAATCAGAACCACTGGAATCATTTGACTCTTCCAACAGTTCAAAGATACTAGATCTAGCTCTGCGAGCTGCTTGACGCTTTAGCCTGTCTGACGCCATTTTGGTCAATACTGGAGAGGTGCGGAGGGGGTGTTTCGCACAACAACAAAAATCATAAAAAATTGATTCCCAGCAGAAAGAAACGAAATTAGTCTCAAACAAAAGGGAACTAACTGTACTATTTTTACAACAGCTCAAGATCTGTCCCTGGACCAAAACAAATGATTAGGTCAGGATCGCCAATGTGGTGACATCAGGGCTGAGATGTACAGGGATATAAATCACCAATGTGGTGACATCAGGGCTGAGATGTACAGGGATAATAATATAAATCACCAATGTTAGGACATCAGGGCTGAGATGTACAGGGATATAAATCACCAATGTGGTGACATCAAGGCTGAGATGTACGCGTAGAGGAATCATCAATGTGGTGGTAACGGAAGAGACAGACACATATTAGCTTCTGGGACAATTGAACAAACATTAAGGGGGTCTCATGGCCTAGAGGTTAAGGTGTTTGCCTCTCATTCAAAGGCCCCGGGTTCGAATCCGGGTAACGACAGAACCATTTTCTTCTTTTATTTGTTTATGTAGAGGTTTTACGGCGCTCGCAACTGTTTAAGGTCATATGAGCGCCAGTTTTCTTCTTTAAACTTGTCTTCTTTCACCTCCTTTCCTGCTCTCTAACAATGTTCTGTCGTCTGCTTTCGTCTCCTCTTTCTGCCCCCACTCCCTCACCTTCTTTGCCCCCTCCTCTGGGCTCCTGACTCTTTCTGCAGCCTTTCTACTGCTACTCCTTAACTCCTTCTTTCTGCTGTCTTTCAGCCACACCCCTGATCTTCTAGTAGGAAAGATCTACACCTAGCCTTCTCGGACAAGGGCAAAAAACCTCGAAGGGCCCGTATACCAAAGTTTTGCACGTTAAAGATCCCTTGGTGGTCTAAAATCGATAAGAGTAGGCTTCGGCCGCCACCCGGGCACAATTCAAAATTTCGCACCAACTGAAAACATTAGGTGTGTCCCGCGCGCTCATATGACCTTATGCAGTTGCGAGTGCCGTAAAACACTTACCAAAAAAATAAAAAAAATAAAAAAATAAATAATAAGGTCTTGAGCATCTTGGTCTCACTGGTAAAATTGAAGGCAAGCAAAGCAGGGGAAGACTTAGAGAAATGTATTTTGAAAGCCTCAATAGTCGGTTGACGGGGAACTATCAGGATAATACAGCTTTTTTAAGCGCCTCTGAACAAAGGAATGAATGGTAAACCCTGATGGCCGATGTCTGAGGCAGATCTGGCAGTTGACGGTGAAGATGCTGCAAGTTTAGATGTACGGAACAGAACTCGAGACTGCTACACCTCTTTTACAGACAGTGCGCTGGCTTCATGTAGAAAAATGAGTTATATAAGTACAAGTTGACCACTCGAGGTCACAAATGCTTGAATGATAATGTGTCATCATGTCTATCAAATGTATTGCTTTTTTGTTTTTGTTTTTTTTGTAAGTGTTTTAGGGCGCTCGCAACTGCATAAGGTCATATGAGCGCGCGGGACACACCTAATACTTTTAGTCGGTAGGAAATTTTGAATTTTGCCCGGGTGGCGGCCGAAGCCTACTCTTATCAATTTTAGACCACCAAGGGATCTTTAACGTGCAAAACTTTTGTAAACGGGCCCTTCGAGGTTTTTTGCCCTTGTCCGAGAAGGCTAGGTGTAGATCTTTCCTACCAGAAGATCAGGGGTGTGGCTGAAAGACAGCAGAAAGAAGGAGTTAAGGAGTAGCAGTAGAAAGGCTGCAGAAAGAGTCAGGAGCCCAGAGGAGGGGGCAAATGAGGTGAGGGAGTGGGGGCAGAAAGAGGAGACAAAAGCAGACGACATAACATTGCTAGAGAGTAGGAAAGGAGGTGAAAGGAGACAATTTTACTTTTAGAGAAGAACATTTTTCGGTCGCTACCCGGATTCGAACC